GAAAACTACTATAGCTATGTCAACCAAACTGTATAGAGTCGTTTCTTTTAGGCATTCTCATATACAGTTCAAAAATGGAAGAAGTCGGACAATAACCACACCCACCTCCCATACAAAGGTTATGTTGAAAATCACTAAAAGTGCGTTAACCGACTAACATAAAACGTCAGAAACACTAAATTTGGAGATGTAGCGCGAAGGAAGATTCTTTGAGTAGCCATGATGGGGAAAACGAAATAGACTTTTCCTCAGGTGTAGTTGTTATACCTAGGTCCATAGCTAATTTAATGTATTTAGAAACAGTGGAAGAAGTATTGGAGTTTGTATCGTCGGTCCATTTGGCTTTTACTATACCATATAAGAGCTTGTTATTACATAATAGTAGTTTTCGAATAAGCTTTTGCGAAGTATGTAAAACTCTTTCCTCGATGGATAGGAGTCCGGCTTCCGTTAATGTGAATGTTTAGGATTATTTACATTAATTAAGTTTATTTTCTAAATAATGTGAAGTCTGATCTGGCAATACTGTTTTATATAAGCTTTCTATTTCTCATATCTCTTTATCATTCATTTCTGTTTGTTATTATCTTTGTTTGTTAATGTTTCGAAGTTACGGTATTTTAAATGCCTTTGTACTCCTATAAATACCGGAGGACAAGTAAGTACAACCTCTTCTAATCTGATTGTAACTCAGTGCTGATGGTACTCATCTCAATAAAGCATTCAGAACTCTACCCGCTGGTAAAATTAATTATTTAACATTTTGGTGCCTCCTGTGAGGACAAAAATGTTTTAATTTATTTTGTAATTATTTGTTATTGCGGTTGTGTGATTTCAGGCGAAACTTAATTGGCAATCATCGGCGGTAAAAGCAATAAAGCGCATACATGCACGTGTCTCGGATGGTGCCATGGAAAGCCGTGATATGTTTCACCTCCAACAAGAGCTTAAGTCGCTTGGATCACATTTTGAGCGCTTCATGGAGAACTATAATCGTCTGGTTGAATTAGCTACGTCCACCGATATGGGGCCACATGATGCACTTTTGGAATCAGTAGAGGAGCTGTATACTGCGGCATGCAACCGGCTTAATCGTCTTATCGCATCGTCAAGGGTTGAGTCTAATGCCGCTGACGGACACAAAACTGTCCCACGACATCTCTGGATGGTCATTTGGTTGATCTCAAATTAGACCCGTTAGCTTTCCCGTTGTTTGATGGAGAAATGTGCAAATGGTTAGCGTTCAAAGATGCCTTTGAAACACTGGTACATAATTCGACGTACCCAGAAGCGTTTAAGTTGGGAAAACTTCGGCAGGCGGTCAATGCGGCTACTGTTCCTTTAATTGGTGGAATATATTCAGGTGGCTATCAGAAGGTTTGGAAGGCTCTCAAGGACCGCTATGACAACAAGAAACAGCTAGCGGAAATACACGTATCCCGTTTTCTTAATCTCAAAACCGCTACCCATAAGTCATCGCAATCGTTATTGACTATTGCGGATACGGTTCATGAGTCTCTGCTTGCATTGCGTGTTATGGACATTCCCATAAACCAGTGCGACGCATTGGCTATACCAATCGGGATGGCCAAGCTTCCAGCCGTAACTAAGCGTGATTGTTGTATGAGGTGCTCCACCACAGAGATACCACAGCTAGAAGATCTACTGAAATTTCTGAAAAGACGTGCTCATAGCCTAGCTCCTGAACCATCGGTCTCATTAATATTTTGCCGTCAGCACCGAGCACTGAGGGCGCATGTCGCTACTACAATTGCCAAGTGTCCTGTAATATTGGCTCTTAACATCGAGCAACGATTTGAAGCCCTTAAGAGATTGAAATTGTGTTACAACTGTTTACGTTCGAGTCATGCCTATCGTCAATGTTCGTCTGGTAATTGTCGAAATTGTGGTCGCAAGCATAACACGATCCTATGTCGACACAAATTCAACAAGACGTCAACGTTTTCTTCTACAACTACGCCAGCCATATGCAATGAGGTACCTGAGGAGGTGCCGACAACCACAAGCAAAAGCGCGTGCATATGCCTTTGGAGACGCATCGGTACAGCGAGTGGCACGAGTTCGGTGTGATCCCGGATCACACGTTAGCTTTATAACGGATCGTCTAGCAAACTGTT